TGTAGCTAAGAGCTGAATGAAGCTCATTTTCGCAAGCCCGCACAAGTGACTTGCGCTGCAGCTACTCACACTGTGACTGATCAATCGTGATTTTGAACGGCTCCTGAATACCTGGCAGAGCATTTGTGACCGCAACGTGCCATCGAGAGAGCGAAGCCGAGCCGTCGTCGGAAGTCGGCCGGCCGCCCGCGTGCTTCAGAGAGCAAGAGGTATGGAGCGAGCGAGCGCGCGGTGGGTTTTCGCAAGTCTGTGTCAGTCTGCAGTCTGCAAGTCACGAGTGGGCCGGGCCCCCCTCCCATATCGATCCCCAACGCTCCTGACTCCTTGGCCTCCTGGCTGGCTCATCTACCCAAAGTCAATCCGATCAGATGCAGGCCATCAGCAACGATTCGCAATCGGTGGGACGTACCCATACACTCACACTGTGACTCGGGAGTCGGTCGAGGCGAGCGCTCAGCCAGGCGTGACCCGCTACCCGAATTCCGATGCGTGCATGCTTGTGGATCGCGATTGTCAAGATTGTTCTAGAGCTTGACGATTCCGCATGGTCTTCTTGATTTGAAACCCCGCTTTCACAACTCAAAAGTCCGGACCGCACACCAAACTGCGACGATTGCATCTAAGGGACGTCGAGCATCTTGTTGATGAATATCGTCAAGCCAAATGTGCGCTACATGTGCCCGTTTTAGGTAGGCGACAAAGACGTGGTATCGTCGAACACGAAGGATTGGAAGGAAGGCAGAGCAAGATGACGCCAGTGTGGCAGAAGTCGAACGCGGTGACGGAAACAAGAAAGAGGAGAGAAAGACAAATACAACACGTGGTACAAGAATTGGCCATGCCAATGAGCTTCACTTCATCACCTCTGCAGTCCCGCTGTCTCGTCGCTGGATCTCTTAGTCTCTCCGTCGGAGTAGTGTGAATCCAACGGAGTAACAGGTCTTTCCCGAGCGGAGCTCTCTCTCAAGCCGCCTAGCGCATCGCTGCCTTCCTCAATAGTGTCCAACTTTGCTGATCGAAGGGCAAGAGGGACACCCAAGCTTTCTTCCGTCTTTAGATCCGCGTCGCCGTAGCTTGAGACGCGCTGTCTGTGGGAAGGAGAGCCGCCGTGTTGACCCCCTGCCAGGCTGCTGTACGACGTCGCTTCCAAGACTTCCGCTTCCGTCTCCACGATCCTCACGCTCGTCGTGGTGAAGTCAGTGATGCGGACAAGGATCATGGGAAGCGCAATGACCAGACTGCCTGCTAGAGAAGCCCACGTGATAACGAGAAGCTAAAGGCAGACGCGGAGGTCATAGGTCAGCAAGATCCGGTGCCGAGTGCGCCTTGATGCGAGACTAACCCTCATATACGGGATGCCTCTACTGTCCAGTCGCCAAAAGACTGCATTACCCGAGGATTGGAAAGCTTTGTAGAGTCCGCTCATGTATGAGAGCTGTCGAGAGGTTTGGACCGTTCCAGGAGTCAGGCGAACGAGTGATTATGATCTGTCACGAGCCCAATCTCGACATCTGCAGCACAAATAACTCACCTTCCTGCTGTTGTTGCTCATAGATCCGATTGAGTAGTAGGCAAAGCTTTGCCAGCAGCTGTCCGCCACACCAAAGAGAATGTACAGCACTTGCAGGCCAAGATAGTACACGCGATCGTCGGTATCCTTGTAGTCCAACGCGCGGGGTGACTCTCTCGAGAAGCTGTGTTGAACATGGTAGCTTGCTGCCCACACTAGCATCGTCAGACTTCCAACAACTGCGACGCCGATCTTCGCGCGCGTAGGTCTCGAAACTCGCTGAAGGTCCAGAAGCTGGCCGAATAACGGTGCAGCTATAGACTGGGCCAACCAGTAGAGCAGACTATTGAGCGCTCTGGACCGTATCGAGAAGTTGCCCAGATTGAAGCTGTTGAAGTGATAGACGTAAAAGGAATTGCTGAAGAACCACCACGGCACCATCAGTAGGATGAGAGGATCGTAGCGCAGGCACTTGTACATGCCCACTAGCTCCGACCTCAATGAGGGAAAGCGAGGCGAAATTACCCGCGTTCCGTCTGTCCTTGTCACCTTGACGGGTGGTAGCAAAGCCCAGGGCAAAGCTACACCAGCTACGGTAAGACCGAGCAAGACTGCATAGCCAGCGACCGAAAGGTGTGTCTCTTTGGAGTCTGCCGTTTCCACCACGAGGACAAGAGAGCCGATGATATCGCCTGCATTGAAACAAGCCCAAGCTAGTCCAAAGAAGCGACCCTTTTCGGACTCTGTTGGAAGAGAGAGAACAAGGGTGCCATAAGCTGTCCAGAGCAGCCCAGCCGAAGCGCCGAGAATGGCACCTGCGGTGATCGTGAAGGGAGCTGTACCATCTCCCCGAACTGCGTAGACAAGCAAAGCGGCCATGTACAACCTGCAAGACATCTCAAATTTAATCAGGGCACGAATAGATGGGCAGCACCAATGATACTCACGAGTACCCTGTGGCTCCCAAGCAGAGAGTCAGTCGGACTCCCAGCTTGTTGTTGATTACTCCGCCCACCAAGCCAGAGAGAGCAAAGACCGCATATAGCGACGTCAAGCTATCCGAAGCGACTCTAGGGTTCGCCAGTCCAGCCCCACCAATCGACGTCGCAGCGTTGAATAGCCCTGCAACGAAAACCCAGATAACGATATTCAGCTGCCTGCTTGACGCACCGCCGTGGTGCCGACGCGCTCACCTGGACACAGGAAAAGTACCAGACCAAGAATGAGGATTTGAGTCCGAGGATTGTAGTACAGTCTCTTGAAGAACGGCTTGGGTCTCTGGTCCGCACTGCTGGCAAGAGCTACGGCGTGCTCTCCCAAATCAACTTCGTGCTCTAACGCCTCCTTCTGGCGATTGGGCTTGTATCGAGGTAGTTTCAGCTTCGCTGACATCTTGTAGCAACTAAGAGATTCTCCTTGGAAGTTTGTGAGGTGTTGCGAGCGCACAGATTGGCATACTCTGTGGGAAGCGTTGCAGCGTGGGTCGTGTTGTAGGGCGTCGGGTTGTGGGAGTCAGCTAGGAGGCATTTGAAAGAGGTCCTCCAGAGCAAGCTGTGCGCAATGTTACTCCTGTTTGTGACAAGTTGGCAGGCTACATCTCTCCGTGGTCTAGCAAGTCTGAAGGAACACGGACCGATGTGACCCACAGATGGACCCAGCAATCA